ATTCTGCTGTAATCATACAGTAGACAGAAAATGTGGGGAACATTTTTTCCTACCTCACCTCTTAGAATGTAAAAATACATTTTACTCCAGCTCTTTGACCTTGCGGATTGTCATGGTTATCCACAAAGACAAGCTCTGTAAGAAGGCACAAGGTCCTCACCTTCTCCCTAGTTCCTCTCTCTCTCTCTCTCTCTCTCTCTCTCTCTCTTTCTATCTATATATATATATCCTTTTAAATTTGCCTTGGAGTTCAAACTCTATATCCCTTTCTAAAGAGCATCTTCAGCTAAATTCTTTAAAAAATGATTTCCTTAAGATTTTATATTCTATCTAGAATTGCAAGATGCAGGATATTGTACCTGAGATAGATTTCACAAGAATGAATATTTATATCTCAGCATAGAATATAACAAAGTGAGTGGCTGTCAGACTTCAATGTTATATTGTTGTAGTATAAATATTTTAATATTTGAAATCAATTGACATTATATATTTAAATTCCAGATCTGGGCACATTATAGGTACTAAATGTGTATTTAATTCGTTGTAGTAATCAGCTGAGCTCACCTATGAAAAGAAAAAATAGTGAAACCTAGGATACTCATATAACAGAATATAATTTCTCAATGATCTGTTCAGCTTTTAAAATATTTAGCTCAATATTATAAATATCAGACATTGTTATTGAGAGGGATAAAGCTTAACATTTATAATTAATCAAAATACCAAAAACTGTTCAAATAAAAAGGTTTTATGTCACATTGTCAATTATCTCATTAGAATCTTATGTACTATAATAGTTTTTCACACTGGAGAAACTCAGGGTTAGGGTTAGGAAGAAAAGGGCTAAAGGTGTAGAGAAAGTGGGAAGGATAGGGGAAAGGTTATTAGGGAAAAGAAAAAAATATGATAATATGAAAAAATGGAAATAAAGTGTTTGTAGATAGGGAGGGGAGGAGGGGTGAAGGGAGGCCAGGGATAAGGGGAAAAAATGAGAACCAAAACCTGTCATGTAAAGGTGCAAGATCACAATGATGAATGTAACTGTACTGTATACCTAAAATGTACCAATAAACTCAATTAAAAAAAAAAGAAAAAAGATATCCTCATGGAAAAAGAAAGGTGTTATGAGGATTACTCATATTGGGTAATATGCCAGATAGATATGAAAAAATTCAATGACAAATGACTTTCTGTTTACTTTAAGTAAGGCATCTTCTCTCCATTCCACTTGCGAATATCTGTGCCAATTTTTTTTGCATCACACTTGAATTCTGTCACACTGCCATTTCCAAAGTATTCTCTACTTGTAATTGCTTCACCAGTCTGATCATAAATATAGAGGGAAAGATCTGTAACACAGGAATGCTAACATTGCATTAAAGTATCTTAAAGCTAGTTATGTTATGTGAAACACTCCAAAACAGGATTCCTTCTATCAAGTTTCTTTGCTTTGATAAGTAGTTACTAAAATATTGAAAGAACCTTAATTACAAGTGACATATTATCTTAAAAAAATGCTGTCCTTATTTATTTCCCTATACACACAACAAATATAATAGCTCCCATGAACATAGCGTTTAATATTTGACTGACAACATTTCTCAGTGATGGCAATTGTTAAATCATTTAATTTCTAAAGAAAAACATCATAGTACTTTTCAGCACATGAGGAAATGATTGCACAAAAGGTTATTCCATTTCTAAAAAATACTACACAGCTTATAGCTGTAGCACTAAATTTTAAACAGCTTCTAATTATGTAGCCAAGATCCAAAGTGAGATTTGTTGGAGGCAACAAGAACTGCACAATATTCTCTCTCCTATGTGTCCTCTAAGGAGATGGTAAATGGCAATGTTAGGTTTTTAGGCTAAAGAAAATGTTTGCACTTCCATACAGTCCACTTGGATAAAGAATTATATGTGCTATCTTTGACTAACAGTAAAAGAATACTACTCTCTGAATAATCCCCTACCTTGCAGAAACCATGTTTTATTAATCTTCTGTTCACTCTGTAATGAACAAAACGCTATCATATTATATGCATACACTTGTCTTGATGTACCTCCTGGCAATGAAAGGCCAACTTCCTGCTGAGAACCAAGTTGTGCTCAGGTTATGCAGTTTATCCAGAATTGCCTTGATGTCTCCAGGCCACATGGGCTTAGTGGCATCAAGTCTGAAGCCTACTACACCAATGTCAATGAGATGGTTGAGCAGTCATAAGTCTTGGTCTGCACATAATCCTTCCCAGTTTCAAAATTAAGAAGACCAGAAAGACAACAATCTCTTACCTGTTTAGGTCCAGTTTTTCAATGATTAATAAAACATAAACTCTCATCTGAGAATCCATTTGATTGTTCAGTTATGTACTTATACATCAATAGACATTACATCATGTGCTCTTTGGAAGGGCACTGGTGTTATCAATATTTTACTGTGCACATAAAATTGAAATAACTTCTAGTATAAAAATACAAAGTGTAGGAGATGAAGGGGATGAGAATTTTTTTAGAGGGAAAAGGTTTTTTTGTTTTTCACTATCATGCTTTTTTCTTGTTCTTTTTTGGCGTGTGTGGGGGGAGTGAACAAACCATATTGTTCAGAAGGGTCTAAACATTTTCTACCAGTTTAGAATACAACCAGTCTTATGCTTCGAGGAAAACATTTGAATTTTTCTTATATTTAAACAGGTAAGGCTGGTAAGCAGTTTTCTTAAGGAATCTAAACCAGCATCATCCTGACTTCTAATAATGCACATGTCAGTAATTAAACTCCTTCATAGCTCCTGGCTCAGTTAATTATTTGAAAAAAAAAAAAGCATACTGGAGCAGCATCCTTATAGGACTCAATGCCTCCACTTCCACTTTTACATTTTCCTTCATTAAAATCCCCAGCAGATTATGGAACGGCTGAAAACTCCCTGTTGTGAGAATTGTAGTAACTTCCACAGATACTGTTTGTTCCTGCACTGTTGCCTTCAGCACACAAGTGATTAATTATGGCATCCACGTAAATTCAGATCTGAAAAGCAAGTTGACTCCATTTTTACTTCAGGAAGAAATCTTGACATTACTGCATATTACAAAAACCCAACTCTTGCTTCATAATTTCATAACTATAACTTCCTACAAGACCAAAATCAAGTGTAAAAGGACCCTGATGTGAAATAAAGAACTGCATCAATTTAGTAACTTGGTCAAATGTCTAGATAAATGATATACTGAGGGGACAAGAAATTTCCATAACTTTGAAGGAATAAAAATAATATACATGGAGTTAAGTATCAATTGATCCTAGAGAAATTATTGTTTGGATGTTTTAGGGGAATCAAAAGGAAATAACAGCAATTAATTCTTCCCTTCCTTTGGTATTTAGCAAGAGTAAATAGCTACTTACTAAACAAAAGATGATGGAGAAAAAAATCTGGGAATGAAAGTGAAGACATAAATCACATAAAAAGACAGCAACTATTGTAACTGGAATCTCCAATTCTTAAGGTGAATTATGTTGATAGGAGATATGTATAGTTGATAGGACATTTGTATAGTTTCAGGGGTAAAAATTCAATGTTTTAGTATATAAGTGATTCTTCTTGAACAATTAAAATACATCTTTATGTATTAATGACAAATGTACAGGGAAATTTGTAACCATTATGTAGAAGCAACAGTTCATTTTTCATTTAAAAAAGTACAAAGAAATAATTTTAAAAATTCCAATACAGTACTCATAAATTTCTGCTTATAAAGAGCAAGGGATAGGCAAAGAAGATATCTTCTTGAACAACATTTCTACAGGAAATTTGAATCCTCTTACCCAACATTGTTACACCTCATCACATGGTTCTGAATTCATCTTCATTTCCAGATCTTGAGCATAATTTATAGCTAATTGGTTGATATTTTTCCCACCAGGGTCTATAAGGGTTGGTAATTATATTATTTTCTTTGGGTGGAGAGATAAATAAGAATAAAACTATGACTTATTTTATATCATTATGTCCTATACAAAGACACAGTTTAAAATTCTTCCTGAATGTGTACATAGGTACACTGCTTTATAACGACTTGAAAATAAAGATATGTGAAATAGGAAGAAAAGTGCTAAAGGTATAGGGAAAGTGGGAAGGATAGGGGAAAGGAAATAAGGGAAAAGAAATAATATGAGAAAATGAAAAAAAAAGAACTAAACTGTAAGAGGGGAGGGGAGGAGGGGGTGAAGGGAGGGCAGGGGCAAGGGGAAAAAATGAGAACCAAGATCCCAATAACAAATGTAACTGTACTGTATACCTAAAATGTTCCAATAAACTCAAGGAAAAAAAAAAAGAAAGAAAATAAAGACTTTTCAGTGGAGATGTCCAGATGATGACTGGAAACGAACTAAAACCTTTTCAGCCAATATAATTTTTTTTCTTTTTAAAAAAACTGTTATACAGTACTTTCAATAGAGTAAATGTTCTAAATCACTGATACAGATTAATATACCATTCAGTATAAATGCAGTAAACTCTGCAGTACATGCTATGAACAACACTGAACACCTCCAAATTCTCTGGGACCTAAGTATTGCTCGAATTCTGCAGCAATGTGTGGGAGCCAGTCATGGCCCACTGACATTTGACATTTGAAAGATAACTTCTTTCTTTATAATCAAGGCATTGACACAATGTGTGGTCAGGATGTTCCTAATTAGCATTTGTTAACATTTGTTCCTTTTTAAGGACTGCACATGTTAAATTTGTTTTTGACCCTGAGATGGGAGAAACTCGAAGAGATAGCCAAAGATCTGATGTTATCTGCAGGAGTCAGGTGCTTCCTGTTAAAGATCTGACGTTATCTGTAGGAGTCAGGTGCTTCCTGTTGATGCGAGCCTTTAAAAGGAGCTGTTTCTGTGAACTAAATCAGACTTCTCTTGGTCTCCACTCAGGCTTGAGTGTTCTTTCCTTTCTCAATCCTCACTCCCCAACTCAGGCGTGTTCGTGTTGTGACAGCTGGACCACCACAAGTGGCGCCCGAACAGGGACCTGAGTATCGAGGGATCCAGTGAAGGACACTGCAGAGAAGAAGGAGGCCTCAATGAAAAGGTAAGGAGCGGTAAATCTTCTTGTAAATATTAAAAATGGGAGCCGGCAATAGTTGCATGCTTTTTGTATATGTGCTTAGAGATTTATTGCATGTCGCTGGTGCTAGAGTAGGGCACAAGCAATTGTGTAATTTTTTAGAATTTGTTGAAATGGTTTGTCCTTGGTTCCCTGAAGAAGGCACTGTAAACTTAGATAGTTGGAGTAACGTAGGAAAACAATTACAGGATTATTATGCTGCACATGAACCTAGCAAGTTACCCGTGGATGCTTTTAGTTTGTGGACTCTCATCAGAGATAGTTTGGATCCCAGACATGAGAGAGAGAGAGAGAGAGAGAGAGAGAGAGAGAGAGAGAGA